CTTTCCTTTACAGGTGATTTGTTTCTTTTCTCTAACAACTTTTAATATTCTGTTCTTGTGTTGAATTTCTAGAATCTTGACTATTATATGCCTTGGGGAAGATATTTTTTTCTCATGTCTAATTTGGGTCCTGGGTGCCTCACTTACCTGAATCTGTATGTCAGATTCTTTTTCCCTGTTTGGAAACTTTTCTGCCGTTACTTCTGAGAATGGGTATTTTTTATGTCATTTATGCTATCTCCTGCTTTTTCACTGACTCCAATAAATGTTATATTGTTTTTTGCATCATCTAACAACTGCTGAATTGATTTCTCATGGTCCCTTGCTATTTTTAAGAAATCTCTCTTCCTGGTTGCTAACCACAATCCTGTCCTGGTTATCTGCTTGAATCTATTTCATGGATTCCATTTCTTTCCTATGCTGGGCGTTCATGGCTTCATCACATTCCGGAGCTCCTCTCTTTTCTTATCTGTATCTTTCATTCTGGTCACCATCTCTGTAGTTATCTGGGAAATTATTTTTGTTTTGATTTTTTCTAGAGCCTTGTTCATCTGCTTTGTTACTTCTGTTTTTACCACTGCAGAGAGTCTGGGTGGGTGGCTTTCAGATTGTACCACCTCATTGCCCTGGGGGTTTGCCTTTGGAGAGCTGAAAGTCTGTGGGGGTGCACTTTTTTGTTTTGGTTTTGGTTTTGGTTTGTTTGTTTGTTTTGGTATGGGGATTGACCACAGGACCTTGTGCTTGCTAGGCAGGTGGCAGCACCACTGAACTAAATCCCCAGCCCATGTTGCATCTTAAGTGTCTTCTCATTTTCTATTTTTTTTTATTTGATTCCTGAGTTGATACTTATAAATTGCTTATGGCGAGTAGCTTTATTGCCAGTATTCAGAATCCTTAGGAAATGACTACTTCTCAGAAGCATCTTCCAGGTGTAGCTGGCTTTTGGGTTTTGAGTATTTTGCTGGATCCTATCCCTTCAATTTATTGGAGATGAGAAGTTTCTGCCTACTCTGCCTAGCTGCCAGTTCTTTGGCACTGGCCTATAGGTCTTCCTTTTTCCTTAAGACCCTTAGGCAGCCTCAGTCTTGGCACACCAGGTGGAAAAACTGATTAGCACAATTTTGTCACCTTGGCTAAAGTAGTACAATCAACAATAACAGTAGTATTACCAGGGATTTAGCTCAGTGGCCCTTTATCTGCCTAGCAAGTACAAGATCCCATGATTCCCAGTACAAAATAATAATAATAATAGCATCAAATACAGCCTAGGAAATGACAAATTATAGCCCTTGATTTGGTTTTTTTACCCATAGGGGAGAAGACCTAAAAGGAGTTAGGGAGTAAAAAATAGAAATAAAAGAAGAGGAAGAGGTCAGAAGCAAGGCTGGGGGATAAACTCTAGGAGGCTGGTAAAGAAGACAGGTGGGAAAGAGAAAAGGGAAAAATGTAAAAACAAGAACAGAACAGCAACAAAAAAAAAACTAGAAACTGTGTTCAAACAGAGAAAAAAAGAATTAGAAAGGAGGAAAAACAGATTTTTTTTTAAACCATCCAATTTGGGCCGGGGATTTAGCTCAGTGGTTCCACCACCTGCCTCACAAGCTCAAGGACCCAAGTTTGTTCCTGGGTACCCCCCTAAAATCCATCCAATTCAAGGTGTGTCTCTGCTGTCACCTGTTAGGCAATATGGGCAAACAGAGTCCAGAGCCAAATTGATTAATCCCAGCCAGCTAGCTACAGCTTCACAGTGGAGTAATGGATAATCCCAGCCTGCCTTCCCTTTTAGTTCCTCTGATGTTCAGGCTGGTTTCTGGCTATAGGGTGGAACCAGATTCCATGATCCCACAATAGTCTATATATCTCCTGCCAGCTTGAACTCTGCTCCCTGACCTCCTGTTGACTTGAACTCAGCACCCACACCGAGACACCAGGAGCCACTGGATGGAGTTTGTCCACAGCTGCTCTGAGTTCCGAGCTCAGGTGACCCCTCTCCAAGATGGCTACCAGCCAGTCACCCTCTCCTGGGTGAGGTCTGAACCCAGATAACTCACCAGCTGCTGCAGTCCAGTTTATCCACTGCTCCATTCCACTGGTGCATTTCTCTGTGGAGGGCTCTGGGGCCATCAGTAGTTGCTGTATGTCTGCAGTGTTGGCCTGCTGTTTCCTCGTGGAGAGCCCAGGTTCTGGGAGAGAGTGCTGCCCGGTACCTCACTCCTCTTTGTTAAAGTCTCTCTCTCCACTCTCCCTGTAGACTTCAGTTCTCACCTCAGAGCCTTCCTGGGTCTTTGGACCCACTTCCCTCCTCCTTCTCCTCCTCTCACAGCTGTATTCCAGTGTAAGGACACCAAGTCTCAGAGAGGCTTCTTTGCTGCTCACCACTCTGCCATCTTCATGGAAGTCTTAGAAAGCTTTTAGAGGGTGCTATACATCTAGCAAATGCTCCACAGTCCAGTGGAGGCATCTGTGTTCTCCAGTATGCTGGATAGTTGGTGCCCACTTGCCTGCTCCAAACGTCTGCTTGTTCTGTCAGTGACTGAGAGTCTGTTTCCACTTCCATTTCTTCCTTGGCCTCATGTGTCATGAAGCATAAACTCTGGGGTTTGTGCCGTCTCAGTACCCTGTCCCTGTGGAGTTGCCTTCTTTGGTAGCCCCAATGCCAACATCCACCTCCCACAGCCTCCATGCAGCAGCACTCATGCTGTGGCTGCTGATGCCTGCTGTGCCTTTATCCAGTCTTTTCTTTCAAACCTGTTTGTATCTTTACATTAAAGTGTTGTTTTGCAGGTGGAATAGAGTGGGTCTTGCTCTTTTTTCTTTAATCTCTAACAGCCTCTTCCTTTTCACGAAAATGGCTCTGTCATTCACATTAGTGATGATTAGTGCAGCAGAAAATCCACTCACCACTTGGCTGTTTTTTTAGTCTGCCTCAGCTGTCTCCCCCATATACTCTATTTCTGTATTTGAGTTTATGATTCTATTGTGTCTATGACTTATCAGTTAAAACATTTTGCTGTCTGGGGGCTGCATTAAGGGTTAGTGTACATCTTTTGGGGGGCATACTGGGGCTCGAACTCAGGACCTCACACTTGCCAGGCAGCCGCTGTGCTGCTGAGCTAAATCCCTGGCCCTTTAGTGTACATCTCTAACTTACCACAGATACTTTCAGGTGGCTTCCATACTCATGTATACACTCCAGATTCAATGTTACTTTTGTTGAAAAGGCCACTTACCTTTTTGAACAGGAAAAGTATCCATTTACCCGTAGTTATTAATGCCAGCTTTCTCATCCCTGCTGTAGATTCACTTGGTACCATTTTTCCTGTACCTGTAGAACTCACTCTTTAACATTTTTTTTCTCCCTCTTGCAGTACTGGGGATTGAACCTAGGGCCTTTTCACTGAGCTCTATTCCCAGCCCTTTATTTACTTATTTTTTGAGACAATTGCCCAGGCTAGGATTGGATCCTCCTGCCTTGGCCTCTCAGAGTGCTGAGATTTACAGGCCAAGGAAAAGCTGCTCAGGGCATGGTCATCAGGAAGTAAAGGGAGAAGGGAGGAGCTGGAGAAGGGGACCCTTCCAGGCTGTGCCCCAGCCTGAATCCAGCCTGCCCTGCCTCCCAGCGGCACCTCTGGTGAGTGGAGATAGCACCATGCTCCATTCACCATCCACACGCGAGCCTCTGTGGGACACCCCTGATTGAAACCATAACGTTCACATTAGTTTTCATCCCCCGAAGTTCGACTCTGATCTTTTCTTAAACCATCCGCATCTGCTTCACTGCTGAACACACAGCAAACAGTGGCCACAGTAACTGTCCAGCACCCTTGACCTGGATCCTAGCGCCTGGTGTCAGGTGCACATTGCTTTCAGCCCACCCATTTTTCTCCCCGCTGTACATGCTTGGTGCCCATGCTTGGTGATCCTCAACCAGGTGCCAGGCATGTAAGCTGAACTTGCCGGGTGCCAGACGTTTTGTGTTCCTATAAATGTTCCCAAGCTTTGCTCTGGACAGAGCTGAATCCCTCAGGCAGAGTTCACTCCTTCCGCCTCCATTGGGCTGGAGGAGAGCTGTGTCCAGGATCAGCTCCTCCCGTTGCTGCAGTGAGGCCTTCAGAGAGCCCCAGGCTGGAGTTTCCCGGCCTCTGAGCCCAGCAGCCCCAGGCGCCCTCCACCCTGCCACTCTGCCTTCAGTCTGAGCTCCTGTGTTCTGCGCTGTGCCGGAGCTCCTCACTTCCATTTCTTCCATTCAGAAGTTCATGCTCAGCCCTGGGTCTGCTGCTTGGTCCGTGTTTGTCCTTCATTTGTAGAAACCTGGTTTCTTCCAATTCCTCTGGGCCTGGAAGACCTGAGCCCACATTGGCTATGGAGTCTCAAGCTGGCTCTTCTTCCCCTCCTCCTTGCCCACTCGGGCATAGCCACCCTCCTCCACCCACCATGCAATGCTGTGCCCATGTGCTGCCTGGCACTCCTCTGCCAGGTCCCCAGGGGGAAGGGCAGTGGGCTCTGAGCGTCTGTGCCTGGCAGTTGGGCCTAGAGACATGTACCGCCCACAGACATGTGTGGGCACCAGGCATGTGCCAAGCCCTGTGTAGGTACAGACGGGGGTGAGGAATGCAGCTGAGGCTGTCCTTGGGGTCAGGATGGCAGGAAGAGCAGCAGGGTCCCTCCAGGTGATGAGGACCACAGTGAAAAGAGGCCTCACCATGTATACTCAGGTCCCTGGCTGGTACAGTGAGGACCCCGAGTGCAGGTGAATGGCCAGTGCAGGTGGATTGGGCCCTTGGGGCCCAGAGCTGGGCTTTTGGAGTCCAGGGCTCAAGGTAGATCAGGGGTACCACTGACTGAGGCTCCCAGGGCAAGGCCACTGGCAGGTACTGACCGTGGTCATGCTGAGTTACAAGCAGAAGTCACAGGGCCCATCCCAAGCGAGGTTCTGTGAGCCACTATGTGGGTCCACAGCTCTGCAGCTCTGGACTCAGTCCCTGGTTCTCTCCTGGAAGGCGAGAGCGGCCGGGTCCTGCGGATCTCAGCGGGCGTCAGACACGTGCAGCTCCCAGGCCTCTCCGAGATCAGCTTCTTCAAGGCAGAGGAGGGCCATGAGGAGAAACCCTTCGAGACCCCATTGTGAGTAGGGGTGATGCTGGGGTGCCACTCACTGGGGACAGGGTTGCAGGTGTCTCCAGTGGTGAGGAGGGATGGATTTGGGGCTCCCACCACTGGCTGAGCCATGGCTACCCTCTCACATCCACACCCCAGGACCAGCACCAGCCCAGGGAGGCAGAAACGAAGGCTGCAACAGCTGGTGGAGGCCGTGGTAGAGCAACCAGGCTGAGCTGTGGGATAGCTGGCAGTGGATGACCCCTCAGTCCCCCAAGTGGCTGGACAGTGGCCCCTGACGCCTCACAGAGGCTGGCCTCTGGGAACTGGGCCCAGGTTAGCCTGTTTAGGGTGTAGACTCTCCTGGCCTGGCCTCCCCAGTCCCACCATGGTTCTATTTCCTTGCAGTGGGTTCCAGTGCCTCTCCTACCCCCTGTCCTGCCCTGCTTCAACTCAGCTGGGGCCCAGGACTGCCATGGAACGTGCTGGGACCAGTTCACCACCATTCCAGGGAGAGCCCGGCCCTGCACTGGATTGTAGGGCTGTCCATGGCCAGGGTGACACCCCCGGTCACCTTCGCAGTGAGTGGAGGGACAAACCAGCAGGTTAGGAAGCCCAGGAAGATGGGCCCAGGTGGGGAGCAGGCCAGTCGGTCCTCAGCTGGCAGGCAGAGGGGGCTAGTGGCCAGGTGGCCCAGAAACCCATGTCATGACTACACACTCCTGGCCCGCTGAAGCCGCCTAGGTGGTGGGGTGGCCTAGCATGGGTTGGGTACAGGCCCTAGCCCCACAGTGGGATCCAAGCACTGTACTCTCCCTTCGGGGGCACAAACTGTATGGCCTCTCAGGCCAGGAGCCAAGCCGGGCCAACATGAGAGCTAGTGCACGGCAGACACAAAGCCAGGAGCAAGGTACCTTCTATGCAGTGAGACAGGCCAGGCCTGGCAGGATGATGCCCCTGCTCAATGCAGAGGTGTCTGAGTCTCGGGCCCACCCTCCCACCAGGGCTTCTATTTACAGGAGCCTGGTTCCTACCACAGACTCCCAGCACCCCTCTCACCTGCAGCACATCTGACCTCCTGCCCGAGCCCTTTCTCTGGGTAGCCCAAGCCCTCCTGCAGCCCAGGTCCCCATGTCCTCCTTCAGAGCCCTCTGCTGCTGCGCCTTCCAGTGCCCGTGGCCTCAGTGGTGCTGTGGGTCAGCCCTCTGAGGCCTCTGATCAGGGCCATGCAGCCCTCTCTGCAGCCAGAGGGGCTGGTGGTCACTGGGCACATGGTGGGAAAGGGGAGAGAAGGACATCAAGGTGGCATCTTGGCCTCGGTGGCTGGGATCCACCCATCCCAGAAACCCACCAGCAAGCGGCCAGCCCGGAGGTGGGCAGGTCTGTCCTTATGGGAGGCTGGCTTTCCTCAGTATTTGTCTACACAACAGTCCTGAGAAAAGCAGCCAGGGGATGGATTATTCCTCACACAGAGCACAATGGCTGTGGTCCCTCCTGTGGGCTGCAGGCCCCAAGTGGCCAGGTTCCCTGGTCTCAGGCACAGGGTGGGACCTGGTCCAATCCCCTTGTCTGCCTTCCACAGTTTACAGCAGCAATATCACGTTACATTGGTGGAGTGGGCCTCGTGTTTCTGCATAAAAATACTCGCTGGGCACTGTACCTTCCTCTTGGAGTTTCAGAGCCAAGTCCCAAGGTCAAGATGGAAACCAACAGGGAAGCAGCCCTCAGCCTTGCCCCAGCACTGTCTGCCTCCCTCAAGGGCCCTGAGGGGCTCAGCCTGGGCCTTGTCACTTGGATTTGGGAGCCTCTCGGGCCCGCAGGGCCACCAAGCATGGGTCCCTCCTGGGGCACAGGGCATGGGTTCTCTGTTGGGAGGGCACCCACTGCCAGTCTGGTGCATGGGCAGACTCTCCTAACCCTTACAACCTCTGTGCCTCAGTTTCTCTCTTTGTGAAGTGAAGTCAGATGACCCCATCCCCTGGGCTGGGCTATTGTTGTCTGGAGGCAGGGACCCCTGAGGCTCCTGCCCTGTCCATCCAAACTGAGGAGGCAGCTGCTGGGGTCGGTGCTCCCTGGCTCCTCCTGAGGATTTCTCTCACGGGTACAGTGGACAGGCAAGATGCTCTGTCCTGTCCAGGGCCTGACCTGTCTGCTACGAAGCCAGGCAGGTGGCCCAACGCTCAGCCCCTCTGGAGGCTAAGCTCTGAGCAGTGTGGAGCCATAGCACCCCCAAAGTGCCGGTCACCATGGCAACTGAGTCACCCACCAAGCCCAGACAAGAATGGAGCGAGCTCGGAAGCACCTCAAGTGCAGGAAGAGCGCAAGCACAGGCAGCAGGTAGCGCCTGGCAGAGGGACATGCAGGGGATGCAGGTTTCTCTCCTGTCCACTCTTCTTTCTCATGTGCCCCACGTGGACTTACGCAGCCTCCTGCTTGCAAACCATGGCCCCACCAAACTGTCTTCCTCTGACATTCAGAATAAATTTTCCTTCCAATCCTGTTGTCCCAGAGCAAGCCCACCCTGCACCTGACAGCGAGGACCCTGTGCTTCTCTACGGCTCTGCTGAGACCTGGGCCCTCTCTCTGCCCCAAAAAAGAGCCCGGGCTCCCACCTATGCCCGTCCAACCCAGCACCCTTCAGATGAGGTTCAGCTTTGTCCTGGTGAGGACAGCAGCCACCTGAGAGTGCAAGACAATTAATACACTTCACTGAAAAGCCGCTGATCCCTTTTGGCCCGGAGATCCACTGTGGGCCAGGAAGCCCCATTAGGGACCCAGCTCCAGCAGCCCTGGCTTCCAGGCAGCTCGGAGCCATCTGCTCCCCAGGAAAGAGCTCAGACAGCACAGCCCCGCCCCTCCTGCAGGCCGACTCCGCCCCGTGCAGAGCACCCGGCAGGAGCCCCTGACCAGCCAGGCGGCCTCAGTGTTTCCTTCCTCTGCCAGCCGGAAGAACATGGAACTTGGGAATCTGAAGCAGCTCTGCAGAGAAATAAATACCAGAAGCAGCCAAGCAGGGAACCATCCTTCTACCGGCTCCCCGAATGGCTGAGGGCCTGAGAGTTGAGGCTGGGCAGCTCCATGCCCCAGAAGAGGGCCAGGCACCCACACGCCTATGATGTCGCTCCTGCAAGCCTGCCACCCACGTGTGGGCAGGGCCGATGACCGGAGCAAGTCAGCTCACCAGAGAGCACCATGTGAGGCCAGACAGACGGGCTGTCCCTATCGGACCCACTTAGGATGACTCTTGTGTGTGGGGGACCTAAGACCTGCGGAAACTGTGCATCCAGCACCCCTCACCCAGGCACCAGGAACAGCAGGCCAGGATGGGCCTTGCCCCACACCGTTCAGTCCCTGGCCAGCAGACCTGAGGTGGCTCAGGGCTGACACAGTGCCTGCTGAGTGTTCTCTTATCCTAGGCAGACTATGTACATAGAACTCCCTTTCAGCAAACAGCAAAGTGGCTTCAGCCCCATGATGTTGCTTCTTGACACCAGAGCCCAGAGGGATGGTGAGGCCCCCGCCTCCATCACTGTGGACTCCAGTTTCTGCTACTTACTCAGCTACTCTCATCTTCCAGTACGACTTCATGGTCCTGTGTGGCTACAAAAGCTCTAGCCACCAAATGCCTATTCCACCTGGCAGGAAGGTAAAACCTAAAGAACAGAACTTGCCCACATGGAGGTAAAAAGTGCAACGTGCCTACAAAAACAGGCTTTTGCTATCAGAAAAAAGGGAGAAGAGATATTGGCTGTCTCTGCTGAGGAAGGTACAGTAACCTGGGCCTGTCCAGTGAGCGCGTGAGTATCCAGAGACAAGAACTGTGGGAGCCAGAGACTGAGCCCTGCACTGCCTCCCGACTGAGGTGGTCACCTGTGACCCCATGACCCTGCTCACAGGTCCACAAAGCCACTGCAAGCAAGGCCTGGCCATGGCTCATGCCTGTCCCTGACGTGTTAAGCTCAGCCTGGCTGGGGTTGACCTGCGGCCCTGCTCCTGGTCGGTGGAGTTGGCGCCGCAGAATGTGAGGACCGACCTCGTGGACACCCAGCACCCTCAGGCTCACACCTCTGAGCCCCGGGGCCTTTGTCGTCAGGGCACCGTCAGCAGCTGATGGATCGCAGGCGGAACGGGTGGCCTCCCACAGAGAGCCGCTGCCTGAGTCAGACCTAAAATTAAAGCGAGCGGGCGGCGGGCACTGAGCAGTTAGCGATGTTTCACCATGTTCCTGAGCCCGGTGACAGCAGCCAGGCTGGATGGGGCATGGCCATCTGGTGCCAGGGGTGGCAGCAGGAGGTGCCACAGCCACCCGGGGCCCGGGTTCTGATCACCACGAAGCTGACCTAGACACAGGGTCTCCGGTACCACTGGAGTAGGCCCATGACAGGAGACAGAGCCCCCAAAACTCGGTTTTCACTTCCACAAATAAGTTGGATGGAGAGAGGCCTCATGTCGGTCATATGTAATTGCAAAACCCATGTTCCATCCTCCTGTTGATATGAATGAAATATTTGTTTTAACTTTACAATAGACGATTTGCATTTCGTGGAGAGGAAAAGACAACCTCCCAGACGTGGCCCATCGCCAGATATTCCAAACCCTATTTTGGATAAATTACAGCACCCTGATTTCGGCAACAAAGCACACTGATTTCACATTCAGGAAGATTTTTATATTTAGTCTCCTAACCTTTTGTGATTCCCACCCACGGCTTGGCAAGCAGAGCCTTTGTGCACCCGTTCCTAGTGGGGCGTCTGCCTTGGCCCCAGTAATTTGAGCCATTGACTCACGGGGCAGGTGCCCACAATGTCGACACCCATGTGGGCGCCCGGCTCTGGCAGTCCCTGCACATCGGATTTGGGGACCCAGCAGAGCCGCAGCAGGGAGAGAAGGTCACATTGCTTTTCTTCTCTCTTTTTTCCCACTGCACGAAACCCTGCCCTCGAATGTTTCCCCCACTGGCCTGAGTGGTTTCTCCTTTTCATGTGTTGGGCAAACGGATCTGAGCGATCATCAGATGGGACCCAGGAAGAGTCAGCCATTATTGTAAAATGATTTAGAAAATCAAGGTGCCCTCTGCCGCTAATTCAATCTTGCCAATAAAAGTGGGGGGTTCCTGGAGATTTCAGCGCCTCGTGGGGCGATACCACACTTTAATATTAATTGTCTACAGCTAATTATGGCAGGGCAGCACAAGAGAGCCATATTTTTAAAAGGAAGTTTGTGCTATAAATTCCTTTTCCAGGAATCATCTCATGCAGAGGGGACGTCCCAGAAAAATACAGCATAAAAAGACATCGTGTTGCTTCCAATGCCAAAACTGGATAAAAACGGAAATTCGCTCAGATATTGGTGCAATTCTGTCCCAGTGCAGCAGGGGTGTGTGGGGCAGGGTGGGGGCGGATAGGGGCTACCCCCTCTTCAGAAAGGTGGCCGGGAGGCGGCCTGTGATTGGGCTCAGCCAGCTGTGTGGGATAACCACGCTCCCATGTTTGTAGTTTGGAGTAGCCCCTCTGTGTGGCCCAGGTTTGTCTGGGAGTGGCTCTGCCACAGTGCCACCGCCCCTGACTGACAGTGTCCCACTGTCCCCTCCTTCCTGGGGCCTCTCTTCTCCCAATTGTCCCTGGCCCCACAACCCCCTGCTGTCCAAAGCGGTTCAGCCCTGAAACCAATGAGGCTGGGGCAGGGTGTACGGAAGTGTGGCGAGGAGAGCCCTGCACCTGAGGTATACTGAGCTGCGTTTGCATCACAGACCAGCACTGACCTGATATGCGCATCTGTGCCACCCCCCAGCTCCCAGGTAGCTGGGCAGCAACCCCAGCAGCAGGAGCGGCTTGGCACAGCGCCTGGGTCCCCCAAGGGGGACCTGTGGGTCTCAAAGCATCTGTCATAGGCAAGGCAGGGCTTCCGGCCACCGCAGGCCTGGGGCAGTGTGAGCCTCAAACACAGCAGGTGATGGGAACAGGGTCCACCGGACAAGCTCGGAGCGCAGCAGGGCTGCTGCATACCATGGGGCTCAGGAAGAGGGTCCCCAGGAGTCCGGTAGAGGCCTCTACAGGGTGGCCCTGGAGGGCAGGCACCCCAGCAGCACCTCGACCACCCATGACTTCATAGGACTCAGCAAGCCCAGTGGAGGGACCCCAAGGCCTGGCCTGCGACCTTCAGAGGCAACAGGGCCCTGCGGAGGATGCCAGAAACCAGGAGCACAGCACACAGTGAAGACGCTGACACCTATGTCTCTGCTGGGAGCTGAGCAGGGACCACCAAGCCCAGAGCAGACAAATCTGCTCCCCTTGGCCGTGGGGCTGGGAAGGGGCCTGGGCGTGGCCAAAAGCCATCAGCTGGGGGGTGTGCTACACCACCACTTTTCTGTAGATTAGAGGGGTTCCTGTTTGTGTGTGTGTGTGTGTGTGTGTGTGTGTGTGTGTGCTGGCACTAGAGCCCAGGGCCCTGTGTGCCAGGCCAGTGCTCACCACTCTGCTGCTCCCTCCCGCGGCCCTCCTCGGGCTGCCTGGCACCACTGGGCCTGGGCCTGTGGCCAGTGGTGCCAGTTCCCTCAGATCTCCTTCTGTCCCTACAACCAAGCCCGCTGGACCTGGCTGAGGCTGCCTGAGCCCTGGCAAGAGTTGGCCCCTTTCAGGCCCTCAGCTGTGTGTAGAGCTGGCGGGCTCAGATGGACGTGGGCATGGCAGGGGTAGGGGTCCCTCTGACGTGCGGGGCAGGGCCGCCTCAGAGCCCACTGCCTGCTGGCTGGGCAGTACCTGCCTTTTCACCCTCAGCTGCCCACCCAGGCCTCCATTTTGAGCCTGCCACATGGGTGCCCAGGCCTCGGGAGGTGTGCGCTGGCCATGGCATCTGTTCAGAACCCCATGGCCTCCATCTCTGTCAGCTGCCATGACCCCTGTGACAGGCTGGGCCTGGCAGACAGGTGCGGGGTCTCAGGCTCCAGGCACCACTGAGACTCGGGCTGCCTACTGGGAACAGGGACCTGGGAGCCACAGTGTCCCCACAGGCTCACAGCAAACCCCACGTGGTGGCCCAGCCTGGCTGATCTGCACTGTGTACAAACAGCTTGGCTGGGGGGCTCTGGAGGCAAGGTGTGGGCAGGGAACCCCGAATTAGCCTGGATGTGGAGGCGGCCAGGGGAGCTCTTGGGCTTGGTGACAGTGGCATGTGGAGATGAGAAGTGGGCTGCAGAGGCTCAGGGTGCCAGCCTGGCCTCAGCAGAGGGAGATGTGTGTGGGTGCAGCCCTGGGGGCAGGAGGCCCCCGGCTTCCTCACACTCAAGGACCCTGGGCAGATGGGGCTGTAAGCATCAGGAGTATGGGCCTACAGCCCCAGGCTGGTGGGAACTGAGCTCCATCCCTGTTACACACTGCCAGCCAGCCCCAGCCTGGAAGCTCCCACTCACAGAGCTCCAGTCCTGCACATGTGCATCCGGGGGACAGGGCTCCGCCATCCCTGGCCCCTGCTGCCAGCCTCTAATGGCCCAGCGCCTTGGCTAATGGGGCTGCTGCCAAAGACTAACGCACTGTGTCTGGTCACCTCCAGCAAGGCCATTGCTTGCCCCACGGGGCCAATAACATTTTATTGTTTGAATTTACTTAGGGCTGCAGCTCGGGTACCTCCTGGCAGGTCCCAGCTCACAGCACCCGTTTCACGGTGCCACCGGCCCTCAAGGCCTTGTTTATCCAGTGATTTCTCCACCTTCCACCTCAGTGTCCTACACAGGTGATTAGGGAGTCTAATTGGCTTGGCTGTAAAAAGATGATTAATTGACATTTCCCTCCTGGAGAGGTCAGGCTGTCCGCACTCCCAGCCCCTCCCGGGTGGCACTGCGACCTTTATCTTACCTGTACAGCTGTGAGTAGTAGAATTAGAGTCCATAGGAAGGCTTTGCAGTCACAGGGGCAGGCACCCGGCCTCACAGCCACAGAGCCCCATCCCCACAGGCCTGCAGTGTCCCCCGCCCAGGCTGAAGGCCGGTAGGGACTTCCAAGTGTGGCCAGCCTTGTCCGAAGGTTTCTCTACCGGCATCTTCCCTTAGGAGCTGGACTGCAGGGCCTTTGGGGGACTTAGCCTTTTCTCCTTGATGGTTTGGCCTGATAGGACCAGGGTTCTGAGGGGTGGGTGGCCAGGAGAGCCCCAGGGGTCACAGGATCTGCCCTGGGCCCCTGGGAAGAAGGCTTTGGGGGGCACCATGACATCCACCCAGACACCTTGGGGACAAGCCAGATGCACACCCAGCTGGGGACGGGACAGGCAGCAGCCAGGGCCAGGCTGGGAGACACTCAAGGGCTTCTGGCTCCAAGGAAGAGGGGCTGGGACACAGTTGTGACCTCATGGGCTCCTTGGGTAGGATAGGGCCCTGAGGTCAGCTGAGGCAGGTCTCAGCCCCATGCCAGGCAGGACTCGGGCTGAGGAGCAGAGCACATCCAAGGGCCTGGGACCCAGCAGTGTCAGCTGCATTGTGGGGATCTAGACCTGACAGGAGACCTGGAAAGACTTGGGGACCTGGCCCTGGAGGGGGCATCTTGAAGGGACAGGAGTCAGGTTTGGAACCTAGAGTTCCCGTGACAGCCTGCTGGTCTGGGATCCCCCTGGGACAGGAGCTGGGTCAGTGGGTGAACACAGTATTTATGGTGGAAAGAGGAGAAGCTGCAGCCCAGACAGCAGCAGGGGGTCAGCAAGCACCAAGGATGCCCAGGGGCAAGGCCATCATCTGTGAGGGGTTTAAGGCACACAGCTCCTTCAGGGGATTTTGCCCCACACTGTGTGAGGAGAGCAGTACCAGCATGTCCCCTCCGTGCCCCTGTGTCCCCATGCCCTGCAGGGTGATACCTGGGGGCTTCAGGGTGCTACCCCTGCACGCCATGCCCCTATGTCTTGGGGCTCCAAGGACAGGATGGTAGACACATGGTGTGGCCCGTCTGGACACCCTGCTTTGAACAACCCCTGACCAGCTGGTGTGTGGGGACCCAGGCTGGCCGAGCTGCCTGTCTGGTCCAGCTGGGGCCATGCTCAGTTCCCATCATCTGAAGGCAGAGTTGGTGTCACTACCCCCACACCTGCTCTGACTTATGCAGCACAAATCATGGGGGCCAAGGAGATGGGGGGTGAGTGGGGTTCAACCCAGCTTCTGGCGTGAGTACCTGAGGGGAGAGTGCCCATCATGGGGCACAATCAGAAGTCCCTGTAGGGGCCTGGCATCCAGGCAGGCAACCTGGGGCCTCATGCCCAGTCCTGGGCCAGGTCCCCATAGGTTTTGGGGTGGGAGGTGACAACGGTGGGGCAGCTGTCCTGGGTGGGTTGGACTGTCCTGCTGGGTCTCTGGTTGTCCACACAGCCTCATCATGGCACACCCTGGCCAGGAGTAACGGAGCGGAGCATCCAGGGTCAGCCCAAGTCCCAGCACTTGGTCCCCTGCCACCAAGCAGACGTGGCGGACAGTAATGTCCTTGCTGTCCATGGACATGTGGGTGGGCAGCTGCCCCGCCTGTGCCTCCACATCAGGACTGGGCCAGCCTGGGTGAGAAGCTCAAAGGGCTTTAAACTTGCCCAGCTGGGGCAGACCTACCTCCTCAGCACTCCAGCTGGGTACCAGGAGTGGTCACCCCACCAGGCTCAGCTGGCTCCGGGGTCAGGAGCGCCAGGCGTTGGCACCCACAGCCCATAAGAGGCCGCAGGGTTGAGATTGGAAATGACGCTGTCAGCCATGGTTCTGTCATTGCTCACACGCGAGTGCACAGGGAGAGGGAGGAGGACTTCGCTGGGGATGCCCTTGCCAGGGAAGGACTTCTCTTTTATAGTGCACCATGAGGTGAATGAAGGTGCCTCCGGGGGAAATAACTCTCGCCCATGCTTCTGATCCTCCCGAGGCTGCACCCAGCCTCTCTGTCACCACAGAGAGTGTTGATGCTTTGTCCCCGGCCCCATCCAAGGTGCAGATGAGAGACGCCCCCTCTTCCCCCAGCCGATCCCAAGGGCTGAGCCTGTCCATTGCAGACTCTGTCAACCCCTGTGCAGCTGGGCCTACATGGACAGGGCCTAACCCTGTGGCACAGCTTCCAGGAGCTGCACTGGACCCCAGAGGAGGAGCTGGGGCAGTGATGCAATGTGGACACAACCCACCTGCTACAGAGCCTGCTCCATCCACTCTGCCCTGTCCACACTGCCCTCTCTATACTATGCCGTCCACGCTGCCCTGTCCACACTGCCCTCTCTATACTATGCCATCCGTGCTGCCCTGTCCCCACTGCCCTCTCTATACTATGCCGTCCATGCTGCCTTGTCCATGCTGCCCTCTCAATACTGCCCTGTTCACGCTGCCCCCTCTATACTACACCATCCACGCTGCCCTGTCTATACTCAGGCTAGCCTGGGGGAGTGCTCAGGACAGTGCCCGTCCTCCACCGGGCTCAGCCTCCTGAGCATGTCCAGTGCCCCGGGGCTGCTCCCTATCCTCTTGGCCACCTGCACTCTGAGAGCAGCTTCAGCAGCATGCTTCTCCTTGCTGATTCAGTTTGGTGACTTGGACTCTTGTGTTTCTGGGGGAACCTGCTCAGCCAGGGCACAGGAGCCCCCGTGCCCTGCAGACCACCGGCACGTGACCCAAGGTCATGCAGAGTTCGCAGACGTCCTCCTGGGGCCACCCCCGCCCAGCCTCCAGGCTTTCCTAGCCCTGGGCAGCTCCAGCCAGGTGAGCACGGAGGCCAGGGAGGCTGGGAAGGCCTGGCCCCTCCATCTGTGCCAGCCCCACTGAGCCCACCCTGACCTCCTAGAAGCCTGACAGCAAGCAAGAGGGCGGCCTGTGCCGAGCCAAGATGGTGCCCACCTTCCACGGCAGCAGGTAGGAGACTGGATTCCTCACAAGCCTTCTGGGGGCACTAGGCACTGACCATGCTTCACAACATGTGTGACAGCCGGAGGGCCACAGGAGGCATGGGAAGGGACCTGCCCCAGGGGCCAGTCCTGGAGGCTAGCAGCTGGAGTGGCCCCAGGGGGCCCCAGCACGCTGCACCCAGCACCCAGGCAGTGTGCAGGAGGATGAGAGGGAGAGTCGTGGGCCTGGGGGCCTCCCACATTGGTCATATTTCCCCACGCTCTGGCCCGATGGTGCCTGAGCACACATATGCCAGGGGCCATGACTGGTCCTGTTTACAGAGGGGGAGACTGAGGCACTGGGACTCAAGAGTTTGGCGGTTGCTCAACCAAATCCAGTTTGACGCATCCAAGAGTTGCATGTCACACAGCAGCAGGCACAGAGACACAAGGCAGGATGCCCAGCCCTCAGCCCCTCGCACTGGCCCGTGGGTCATGGAAGAATTGTGTCCCTGGTGGTGTCCATTCGCCACCTGCCTGCCAGGTGCTGTCTTGTCTCGGGGGTAGAACTTGTGTTTAGGACACTGTAGGAGCAGTGGCCAGACAGCCAGAGATGAGCTGGGGCCCGGGAGGGGCAGGGTTGTGTCCAGATGCCCTTGTGTGACCAGTGCTGGGCCCCATCCAGCCACAGTCACTGCCAGGAATAGCCCGACCTGGCTTGAGCAGCTTCCTCCCAAGGACGTGGGCTGGCCAACAAAGGAGCCTCCAGGTGCCACAGACGGGTCGTTGGGACCTGAGGGAGGCTGGCTGTGGAGTCAGAGTTGGTGGGTCTAAGACAGTTCTGTGCATCTCTGGTTCCCTGGGAGCTCTGGGGTCCTGCAGCCTCTCTCCAGTGCACCCGGGCCCTGTTTCCTGGGCATGGAGACTGAGAAGAGACACTGTAGCAAGGCCTCTTCCAGGGCTGCGCTCCCCTCTGGTGTGGCTGGGCCACAATGAGAGACGAATCTGAACATTCACAGTCAAACCCTGACCTCAGCCAACCCCTGGCCATCACCAGGTTCTCAGAGCCTCCAGAGCCCTGAGGTCCCACAGCCTTCTGGCCTCGCCCTGTGGCAAAGCATGGCGCTCAGCCCTGGGGTGCAGCCCCGAGGCCACCTGAGCCCAGCGAGGCACTGCCAGCTATCCTCCCACCACCCTGCCCTGCTGGAGACAGCCGAAGACAGAAGCCTGTCACGAGTCCCTGTGAGTGCACCAGGCCAACCCTGTCCATGGCTGGCTGGAGTCTCGGGCAGCTGGCACGCACCTGGCTGCGGAGACAGGTTCCCCAGGTGGGAGTGTGCGCTGCTCCCTGTGCCCACACTGCATGCCCAGCCACGAGCGGTCAGATGTCCCCAGATACCAGCTGGGCTGCAGCCATAATGGGAACCCTTCCATACCAGCACAGGACCTGGGCTGCCCCACCTTGGCTGAGAGGTCTCAGGACATGGCCCAGCAGTCACCAGCTGGCGCAGAGCCCAGCCTTCCTGGGAGGTCCCCCAGGCCAAGGGCAGGCAATGCTTCCTCTGCTATTGGGGTCCCACCTGGCCGGGCGTGAGGTGAGGCCCATGGACATGACCTGGCCCTCAAAATAGCTCTACGTCCACACATGGCTCCAGAGGCAGCACGCATGGTGCCCCCTGGCCCTGCTGCCCATTGCCTGCTGGTACCCCAACCAAGTCTCACTTAGCTCTGCCATGTGAACAGCCACTGCGCCGTGGGAGGTGGCACACAGTAGGGTGGGTGAGTGGGGAAGGATTGACACCTCCCTGTGACGCTGGCAGCAGGGACTTCTCATAGCACAGGCGCAGCTTGGTGTCTCTGGCCAGAAAATCTATATGAAATAGGCACCTCGTCCTGCTGGAGCAAAGTGGGCAGAGGGCACCCAGCACTGTCTTTTTTTTTTTTTTT